CGTGTAAGCAGCCTGTGGGTCAGGATTATGGTTTGTTCTGTCTTTCCCCCTTCAATTGTAATTTGTCATCCTCACTGAATAGCTGTAGCTTGTTTGATTTATGAATGAATGAATGTGGGTTTTTTTGTTTTGTTTGGTTTTTGCCAGTCCTGGGGCTTGAACTCAGGGCCTGGGCGCTGTCCCTGAGCTTCTTTTGCTCAAGGCTAGCACTCTACCACTTGAGCCATAGTGCCACTTCTGGGTTTATCTGTTTATGTGGTACTGAGAAATCGAACCCAGGGCTTCATGCATGTTAGGCAAGCTCTCTACCACTGAGCCTCCTTCCCAGCCGTGAATGTTTTTGTTTTTGTTTTTTTTAGTGTTAGAGATTGAGCCCAGAGCCTCACCGTACCACAAAGAAACACCTCCAGGCCATTTTGAGTGAAGTTAGATCTTCCTGATTTGGGTGGTGGTATTTAATTAAAGCTTAGATTGCTCAGAACCATGCTGGCTGGGTCTTTTCTGGGGTGATTCTCCTCTCTGAGGTTGTTTTGAAGGTGTCAGGGGCACCTTTGGACATGTTTGAGTCAGTGTCTGTGAGCTGGGACACAGCTCTTGGCCTTCCCACACCAGCTCGCTGTGTGGCTCTTGATGAAAGGCACCTTGTGGATACAAACCTGACTTGCATTCTTTCCCCAGTGGTCTCTGCAGCAGCAGCATTTTTTGAGCATTTGCTCTGTGCCAGATGGGGCTGACTTTGATCCCTGCTTTGTAGGAAGTCAGTCTCTAGGGAGAGAAGCCAGGTGCACAGGTGACTGTTAGCCACCCCAAACAGGTGCACGGGTGACTGTTAGCCACCCCAAACAGGGCTCTGATGTTGCTGGCTATGGCTCTGTGCCCACATGTGTGATGCAGGTGGCCAAGCCTGCTGTGGCTAGCAGCTCTGGAGCGCTAGTGTCACCCCAGACACGCCACGTGGGATGGGCCCCTGATTTTTTTTTGGGGGGGTAGTACTAGGGACTGAAATCAGGCCCTTGGTTTCAGATGCTCTACCATTTGAGTTATGCCCTCAGCCTGGTAAATGACTTCTTGCAGGAAGAGGTTCTAAAAGGGCCATCCTGTGCCGTGCTGCTGTGTCCGCCTTGGCTGTGTGCTGCCGGAGGTGTTCGCGCTTGGGCGTTTGTGGTGTAGGAAACCGTACAGAGGTTTGGAGGGGTAGCATTGTTCCACAAGGGTGGAAGGGGTGGATTCCGAATCTCATGTTGTTTGCTTCTGGGCTCTGCAGCCAACATGGCCTCTGGATTCCAGTAGTTTGCCTGCTCCAGGTGCGTGGCTGCCTGACAGAGGTGGCTCAGCACCCAGCCGGCCAGAGGGATCACTGGTCACTGAGTCACCAGTGCTGCGCAGGGGAGGAGTTTGTGGGCCGCTTGGTCTTTGAGCAGGGGTGAGGATGGGCAGGACCTGCCTGGATGGAGGAGCAGAGGCAGGGCGTGGAGGGGCTGTGGGAGTTGAGGCTGGAATGGCAGTATTTAGGGCTCTGGGTCATTGATTGACATTGCAGGTGCAGCTTTGGCTGCTTTTAGCACAGAGGGTTCTGCACCCCAGCCACGGGCCAGCCGCCTATACCTATAGCGTTCCTGTAGCCCCGCTGCCGTGTGGGGAGACTCCAGTACCGCCCATTGACAGGGCAGAGGAACATGGCACTCAAGGGCCATCAAGCTGAGACACCTGAGATTCCAGGCCTGTCAGAGGCAGGAGGGGGGCTGTCTGCCAGAGACCCTTGCCCCCCGTGTTGCCCCCCCCATCCCCACCATGCCAGGCCCACCCTTTGGGTTGGGATGAACGCTGAGCGCCCATGGCCGGCTCTGTGGATTTACTGGGCAGGGGATTCAGTGCAAGTTGTGTCTGTAAAGGAAGGCTGCGGGGCCTGGCCAATGCTGCAGCCTTCAGACCTCTGTGTCTTGTCTGTAGAGAAGACGCAGCCTCTCTGGGGCTGTGGGGATTGCACTGAGAAGGGATGGGTTGTGAATGAGCCAGGCAGGCATCGCTCAGCACAAGCTCTGGCAGAGGTGGCGTGGCCCTGGCTGCTGCTCTTACAGCTGCCCCAGTGTTTGCACACTCAGTTACAGCTGTATGTGCTGGCTGAAGTTCAGAGGGCCATTCTGAGCTGTTCCATGTGGCTTTGTGGTCCCTGGGGACATTCTCTCAGGGTTCCTTGGGTCACTGGCCACTGTGACTCCTGTTTCCCCCACCCCACCGCAGTCAGGGCTGTTGGGAGCCAGCATGGAGGGGAGGAAGTGGGGCCATTTGGAGTGAGCTGGGCTGCTTTCAGTTCCTGAGTCTGCTTTGAGGTAGTGAGTTCTGGCATCCTCCAGTCCTGGGGTCCAGAGCCCTGTGCCTTACAGGGGCATCTGGGGACTCTGGACCTCACACTGGAAAGAGGCAGGGGTCCTAGTTGAAGGGCTGTCTCTGCAGTCAGTTGTCTTGGCACCACGGAGCCAGTGATGAGCATGTGCTGCCCAGCTGTGGCTTTGTGTGAGTCATTTCCCCCTCCAGCTTCTAGCCTGCCCAGGGGCTGCCTGTGATTGCCCAACTGGTCAGCCACGCCACGAGACCCCTGAGAAAACCCAACCAGAACACTTGCTTATTTGTTTACTTACTGTTACTCTTAAGTCGTTGTACAGAGCGGTTGCAATTCCACAAGTCAGGTTATGAGTGCAGCGCACCTTAGTCACGATCACCCGACCTTCATCTCCCCATTCCCCTTCCCAGCCCACCCTCAAGTCACAGAGTTCATTTCCCACATAATATACAGTGAATGTAACGGCTACACTTGCTCACCCTGCCTCTCTCCATTCCTGTGCCACCCCTTTTTCCTCCCCCCAAAACATGTTTCCACATCCTGGTATTCATTTTGACAAACAGCACTTTCGAGGAGTTATAACTTCGGATTCTTCCCCTAAGCATATCTTCCTTTAGTCATTTTGTTTGTGAGAACACTGTTTTCTTTTTTTTTAAGTCCTCAATATCTGAAGCAGATTTTTTTTCCAAATAAAAAAGCTAATAAGCCAGGTGCCAGTGGCTTACGCCTGTCATCCTAGCTACTCAGGAGGCTGAGATCTGAGGATCATGGTTCAAAGCCAGCCTAGGCAGGAAAGTCCATGAGACTCTTATCTCCAATAAACCACCAGAAAACCAGAAGTGGCGCTGTGGCTCAAGTGGTAGAGTGCTGGGAAGGGAAAGTGGAAGAAAAATGAGGGAGGGGGTAACAAAATCCACAAGAAATGTATTTACTACCTTATGTATGTAACTGTAACCCCTCTGTACATCACCTTGACAATAAAATTAAATTTAAAAAAGAAATGACATACAAACGTTAAAAAACAAAACCAAATAAGTCCTAAAAAAATGGTATAGTGCTAGCCTTGAGCAAAAAGAGCTAGTGACAGTGTCCAGGCCCTGAGTTCAAGCCCTTGACCTACAAAAATATAGATAAAAAGCTAATAGACTGAGTTCTAATGGGGAATCTAACTTTGGAATCCTAACTATTTAGGAGGTACAGATCAGGAGGATCAAGGTTGGAGGCCAGTCCACACAAAAACGCTGTCTCAACAGATGAGGCAGTGGCAGGAATCTTAAATAGGAGGATCATGGTTGGGCAAAAAGTGAGACCCGTGCTGGTGGCTCACACCTGTAATCCTACCTACTCAGGAGGCTGAGATCTAAGGATGGAGCTTCAAAACCAGCCTGATGAGGAAAATATGTGACAATCTTATCTCCAATTGATCAGTGAAAAACAGTACCTGGAGCTCTAGCTCCAGTGGCAGGGTGTTAGCCTTGAGTGAAAAAACCAAGGGACAGTGCGCTAGGCCCCGAGTTCAAGCTTGGTACACACACGCACACACGCACGCACACTTGCCCACCAATCTCTTCAAAGCCAGTGAAAAAACCAAGGGACAGTGCGCTATGCCCCGAGTTCAAGCTTGGTACACACACACACACACACACACACACACACACACACACTTGCCCACCAATCTCTTCAAAGCCAGTGAAAAAACCAAGGGACAGTGCGCTATGCCCTGAGTTCAAGCTTGGTACACACACACGCACGCACGCACGCATGCACACACACACACACTTGCCCACCAGTCTCACAGTGCGCTATGCCCTGAGTTCAAGCTTGGTACACACACACACGCACACACACACACACACACACACACACTTGCCCACCAATCTCTTCAAAGCCAGTGAAAAAACCAAGGGACAGTG